TACAATAAAAATATTAATAACTCATATCCGAATACCTGAATAATTTAGAATATTCGATTAATCGTTCCCATCCCTAATTGGTTATGGCCATGATTGTATGATTATTGAAATGTATCCAGTTCTGTTTCATATAGGTGTTCCCATAGATCTAGTCTCTTTATTTTCCCCTCAAAATGCACCAGATTGATGCATTTAACTCCAAAAAAATAAATAAAAATCTTGCCGGGGGAGCATGCCCCCGGACCACCCTAGAGGATTTGAGGTCCACCCCCACTTAAAATCACATATGTTCCTAAATAAATTTACCATTTAAAAAAAAAATAGTAACCCATGTCCATATGTTTATTTGTGGGTAGATTTAAACTATAGGGTTATCACTATGGGCCCTGCCTGTACCTGTTCGCTCTGCCATCGCGTGAAGGGTCTGCTAACAAGCAACTAACAGAAAGGTTAATGTTGCTGCACGTCACGTCACTTCAACCCCACCGCCCCAAGTATATTTCAGATCTGTGGGAAACACTGAACCCCAGCAGCAGAAAGCTAACACCAGGAAAACACATTTGTCTCATGGCTCATGCTTTTGGGTTGTTGTGGTCATTTTAAAATGCTACTTGGGATTAAACTTATGCATTTTTCATTTATGTGATCTCTTAAGCAAATTTAGATAAATAAATAACTCTGTATATTGCCCAAACAAACATTTATTTGTATTTAATCTTTCTGGCAGTACCTCCATGGCCCACCAGACGGTGCTCTAAGGCCCACTGGTCCAGAACGTTTTTTAGTTAAATATTATAAGTTACTGGCACTGCAAGAAATGTGTATTTGCATGCTAAAAGTAAAGCCAATAACAAACTGGATTCAAAAAAAAAATTCTCATTACAGCACAAGACTCAGAAGCACAATACTTGACAGAATTGACATCTAACATTGAAAAACTATCTTTATATCTGTATATGTACTTTCTATAATTAACGGATGAGATTCATAAGTTCCATAGGGCAGGAAGGAGGGCAGGTGTGATGATGAAAGGGTTTAAGGAAAGAAAAAGCTATATAGTAACAGTTAAGAGATATAATTTGGCGTGATTCCCAAAAAGAAACTGTAATAAAAGTGAGTATACGACATGTAGAGAGCACATTCTCCACTCAGTGTGGGGGCCTACCTTCCAGGGGGGCCCTCTTGCGCATAGCGAGCCTCTCCAGGCGGCGGTGGGTTTCAGCCAGACTGAAGAGCACGCCGTAGCCATACTGTCTGGCAGCGCGGAACAGCAGAGAGGCCGGAGGTAGCTCAGAGTTACACTCATCCTCTATACACACTGGCATCTTCATCTCTCCCTGAGAGAAGTGAGGAAGAAGAGATTACATGGATGATCATTTATATTGCTGTTGGTGACACCAAGAAGCTGTTTGACATCCTCGTTGATCCATTTCCCATATGGATTGTCTATATTACAGGGTATATGCAGGAACCCTGAAGTCAAATGTAATCCCTTTTAAGACCCTTTCCATACATTTTAAGACCTCATCTCCACTTGGAGTTCTAACCGGTTACCTTGGCGACACACTTTACCTCACATTGACTATATACAGTATTGATTGTCCTTCCTCCTTATCTTCCAACCATTTGGACGCAAACTTGCATTTCCCCATAACGATGTTGCTTAGCAACCGGCGTAAACGGACCTTCGCGCTATCAAGCAGTGAGCGTGCGATGTCCTGTTCAGATGACGTCAAATCCAACGGGATGCCATAAATAAACTACACAGAATCACACTACACACCTACGCAATGATTACATTCAGACAGACTGTAGAATACAACCTCTTTGGACCATTTATATACTTATTGAAAACAAGCTACAAAATGTAATACCTTGGAAAATGCTGCTTAATACTTTTTAATAGCCTTCATTTTCACTACATTTATTGATCAACTTTTAATACTTTTTAAGACCCCGCGGACACCTTGACAAATGACACATAATGCCCCCTCCTGGGACAGTATTCCTCTTCAATTGCATCAGGTTTCTCTTCAACTTCCCCCCGTTAACTGGGTTATTGAGAGTTTTTCTTAAGATACTGCAAGGGTCTGAGGACACAGGAATTAGTGTGTTGCACAGATTGTAAGCCCCCCTGAGGCAAATTAGAAATGTGTAGAATTGGGCTGTAGAAATTACATTTTATTTCTTGATACCCCCAACACCCCCATTTTTTTTTCTACACATAGGGGCCTTGTAAAGACAGAATACACACTTGCAGAGACCAATGCAAGCACAAATAAAAACATGGGAGTGAGGAAATCCGTTTACCTTGGTCAATATGTGGTAAATCTGGGGGTACATCAGTCCTCTTCTGTGCCTGTGCTCGGCTACACGAAGAACCTCAGCACTGACCTGAAAAGCAAAGCAAAAAAAACGTCACAAAATGTAACTTTGAACACAACCTAGAAGTAGTTTTTGTATTTCTCTAATTGACACAAACCTGAGGCAGAGGGGGTGTGGTGATGTCCATGTGACTGCGCGTCGCCATAGACAACAGTGACGGAATGTGTGACACGCTCCCGTTGCCTTGGGAACCGTCTCCAGTGGCCAAGCCCCCCCTTCCAGTGGGATCCTCCCAGCGAGAGGACTTGTCCGTCAAATGGCTGAGAGAAAGGGTTCATGGGAGTGTTCAGTAAAGCTCGACTGGCATTCATCATGTTTGTGTTTTTTCAAACACATTTTTGTGTTGGATGCTAACTTTGTTTATATTACTAATATTGCATCAGACGGAGATTAGCAGCAGCCACTCAGTCAAGAAAACCAAATATTCCAAATAATCAAAGCCTTTTTCACCACACACAAATTGTTTATATTAATGTCAAATATAAAGTTAATGTGTGATGTCAATGCTTTGTTTTCCAGCATTTAAAATTCAAGCGTATTCCTTGAAAACACAAATTAAAGCATTTTCCAAACTGTCAAGACTTTCTTCAAACCCTGACAAGTGACAAGTTTTTAAACCATGTTAAGATTATTTAAACTGAAAATCACGTGAGTTCCTTCTGCTCCTCCTCAGTATCTGTAATCCCTCAATCTCTAAGCTGCACCTGGGCTTCTTTACACCTTAAGCTTGTTGACAAAACGTCAGACAGTCAACAGGTGTATGTGTTATTGAGCTGTAATGGATGCACTGCATTCAGGGAAGGGCTCATTCCCCTTTTAACTTATCTTAAATGTCTCGCGTCTTACTTTGCGTTGCTGTCGTTGGGTTCGTCTCCGTCTGATGACGATGAAGGAGACGGAGAGGGACCAGACTGAGGGGCAGTGTGATGATTGGGTAATCGATTTCCCCCCTGAGTGGAATCATATGGAGCCGACCAATCAGTGAAGCCCATCTTGCCCGTCAGCGAATCGTTGAGGTCTTGGGACGGTGGCGGCGCGTTCTGGAACATTGGGTTAGAGCCCGGTCCATATTGAGCATTTTGATAGGGCGGCTTCAACCCTGGAACCTGGGGGGGAGGAAACTGGAAGCAGAAGGAAGGGAAATGGATTCAAAAATAAGTACGTCCCCTCCTGACCCAGAAAGCGACGCAGGTTCTGGTCCAGGCTCTCGTCATCTCACGCCTAGACTACTGCAACTCCCTCCTGGCTGGTCGACCTGCATGTGCCATCCGACCTCTGCAGCTCATCCAGAATGCAGCGGCTCGTCTGGTCTTCAACCTTTCCTAAATGTTCCCACACCACCCCGCTCCTCCGCTCCCTTCACTGGCTTCCAGTAACTGCTAGAATCCACTTCAAGACACTTGTACTTGCGTACCATGCTGCGAATGGATCTGTCCCTTCCTACATCCAGGACATGGTTAAACCGTACACCCCAGCACGTGCACTCCGCTCTGCATCAGCCAAACGGCTCGCTGCACCCGCACTGCGAGGGGGACCCAAGTTCCCATCAGCAAAAACACGTGGGTTTGCTATCCTGGCTCCAACATGGTGGAATGAGCTCCCCATTGAAATCAGGACAGCAGAAAGCTTACACATCTTCCGGGGGAGACTGAAAACTCATCTCTTTCGACTCCACTTCGAGCGATAGGATGACTAACAAAGAACTGCTAACAGAGCACTTATATACTAATAAAGGACT